GTATATATACTAAAACTTAAGTAACAAGTAAAGTTAAATGAAGCAGCCAAAATTCTAAAATTTTGGTCGACTTGCTAAATTTTCTAATATATTCATAAAAATTACATGAATATAAAATTTTTTACAATTGAACAACTTAGCCTGAACTTTTTTTAGTAGACTTTAAACTTGGGACCTAAAGGAACGAGTCCTAATGATCGCATACAAGAATATACATTTCCTGCAGTTCTAACAATCTAATCTTGTTTCATATTTATTTGAATACTATTAGCAAATCAAATGATTATAGTAGAACAAAATAAGTCTGGTCTCAAGTTGAGTCTAAATTACAACTCGACTTTTTGTAAGTCAAGTCAAATAAATCATGATTTTTATATTCTTATTAATTGGTCTAATTATGACCAGGGCTTAATAAACTTTTTATATAACAAATTTTTGCATTTTATTGCATTTTAACTGATTATTTAAAACTTAAAGAAAATCTAGTTATTACTTGAAGTGATACCAGTTGCTAAATAATAAACTTGCTTAAATGCATGTTATGTAAATATTTGATAAATTCTGAATTTAGAAGAATGAATAAGATTTACAGAGGTTGCTTTATTTTAAATGTACGAACAAGTTTTCTTGATTATCATAATCTATTAATGACGAACTAAAGAATTTATTTTATTTAAGTTTAAATATTTGAATCAAAAAAAAATTTATTATAATAAAGTTTGAAAATATTTTTGAAAATATTTTGAAAATATTTAATTTATTTGATAGATTAGAATATATTTCAATTTATTTTATCTGTTATATAATATATTTCATTTTATTTTATCTGTTATTTTATCTGTTATAGATTAGAATAGATTTGAATTAAAGTTAACACAAACAATCATAATGATCAGATTAAAAATATAGCTAATGAGAATTATATTTATTTGATTGACTATCAGGTATTAGATTATTTTATTATTTTTAAATCTAAAATCTTGGTTACCTATGCTACTAATATTGAATGAGTCATTATTAGATTCATATAAAGTAATATATCATGTAATCAAAATTTAATAAAAAGAATTTATTTAAGCATTTGCTTACAAAATGAACAACTCAGTAAAAAGATTTTCCTCTTGATAAATTAATGTTTACTCCTTATTAGTATATACTTTAATTATTATGTTAAAAAGAAATATCCTTTTTTATACTTTTATGATAAATATACTTATCAAAAAAAAAATTATAGTAAGTATATCTTTTATCGATATCCTAATATTAATATATGCTAATAATAATAGGAATCGAATTCCTATTGTGATTATTACAAGTAGTAAGGAAATATTTAAACATGCAATATAATATTTTTTTAACAAAGGATTTGACAATATTTAAATAAAATATCATACATATATTATGATAATATCATCATCAAATGCAAAAATGTTAGTTATTATTAATTTATGATTAAAGATATGATCTAATCATGAAACTAATATGCATATTTTATGTAACAATTAAAAGGTCTTTGAAATTCATTATTACGCATGATAACTATTCATATTATGTGTTTTAAAATTTATTGTTGAAAGTTTGTATATTCCTGTAGAGTTTCAATTCAGATAAATCTGTTATCTATTTATTCATATCTAAATTTATTCGAATATCTATTTACTACATATTGATATCTGGATTATCCCAACAGATATCTAGATAATTATCTGGATATTAATAATAAATGGATATCTGGATAAATTTGAATATAGATATCTGATGGATAAATGAATAAATGGATTATGGATTGAAACTCTACATTCCTTAAATCAGATAGTTCATAGTCAAGTATCAGTAATTAAAATAGTTATATCTATGAAATTTTTATTCATATGACAGATCTTTATTGTTGTAAATTGCTGATTCTGCAGTCATACATAACACAAAATTTATGTACGTATAATTTCTTATTAATGTATTTATTATTAAATATTAAATATTTTGTTAGGTATTAATATTAATTATTTATTAAGTATTCATGTTATTAATTATTTATTAGGCATTAATATTATTAATTATTAATTATTTATTAGGTATTAATATTATTAATTATATAGTAAATAGATATACAAATACTTACCAATTGAGCTGATCAGATGAGTTCATCGCAATGAAAAAAAATAGTGTAAAATTTTAATTTGGAATTTGAATAAACTACTAGGAGTCTTCTGCAAACTGCATGATATAAGAATTATTTGACTATCCAATCACATTGAGAGAGTTGCTTGAGAACATCCTAAGTTTGGCTGAATAAAATAATTTGAAGATAATTAAATTGTTATTAAGTATTTATGTTTATGTTTGCTGATTTTAATAATAATGATAATAATTATATTCATAGTTAAATGAAATAAATCAGGTTATGGTAAATAAGTATTTATATATTGGATAATGGATAAGATTTGCTTAATTGAAAAAAAAAAAAATTTATTTTGAAATAGCATTTTCCTAGACTAGCTTTAATAATTGATGAATATATTAGGATATATCTGAATATTTAGCATAGTGAACTTTTTATCTCAATTAGTGTTAGCTAGATTCCAACTGAGAAACTTGGCAATGAAGTGACAGAACGTTCATTATTCAAGATCAGATAACTCAGAGTAAAGATAAGAGTGATAATATTTTGTTTCTTGTTAGATTCAAATTTTTTTTAGAAATATCATAATGACATATTAGATATGAATAAGTGTATCTATTATAGCTGTTTTTATTCTTTTTGGGACATCTGGTAAAAAAATAATTTTTTGCTGATTCGATAAGTTTTTGATTCAGTAGTGATAAACTATAATACTATATAACGATAATTATATATAACGATATTTTTGCATCCAAAATTAAGTTTACACTTGAATCTATGTCCAGTATATTGTTCTTCCCAACTAACAGATCTTGACAAAAAATATAAAAAAGGTTTAGAATATAAGTCAAACTTTTATAATAAATACACAAGCAGGTATTAATGAAAAAAGTTCAATATGAACAAGAATTGATTACTAGTTTAAAAAAACCATATAATGCAAATTATTATTCTAAACAATCAAGATTATATTATTCTTTGTTGAAACTATGTTAAGAATTATAATTAACAAAATCAGAATAATATTTTATTTGAATATTTTAATATATAAATGATTATTACAAAATATAAGCCAAAAAAAAAACTAGCAAGAATTAGATAAGAGCATTGAAACAATGGATTTGATGATTAAAGATCCTTTAGCTTATTAATATATGTTAAATATTATAAAGACACATATTAAAATAACCACAGTTAAATGAGTTAAATATGAAATATGAAAAAAGACCTGCAAATATTACATTTAATATAAATTAGTGTACCAAGAAAAAACCTGCTATTGGATTTTCAATTATATTTTGTATTGGATACAATCTTTAACAAATTATACTGACTGTGATTGATACAAATATAATTGAAAGCCTGATAACAGGTTTTTCCTTAATGACACTTAAATAATACTGTAATATTTGATATTATTTGCATCTCTTATTGTAAAGTCTGATACTTACAAGTTTTTCATGTACTGCTGTACAGATTATTGTCATTTAGCAAAGATATATACATTAATCGAATTGGCAAAAAATTATTCGGTCAATTTTTTTACCAGATGTCCCAAAAATAATGAAAATAGCTGTAATAGGCAGAAGTTTAGCTGATGTAAATCAATTACCTGAATAAATTTAGATATAGATGAATGGATAACAATAACAAATTTATCTATATAAATACCTGCATCTAGAGTTTCAATCTATAATCTATTTATCTATTTATCCATCAGATATCCATATTCAAATTTATCTAAATATCTATTTACTATGTATTAATATCTGAATTATTATCTGAATATCTGTTGGATTATCCAGATATTTCAATAGTAAATAGATATCTGAATAAATTTGAATATAGATGAATGGATAGCAAATTTATCCAGATTGAAATTTGTAAATCAAAAGTATTTAAATTAAAAAATAACTATAATTTATTATAAAAATTATAACGTGGTTTGAAAATCAGGTATAACATAATACATAAAAAAATTTTTTTTATATAAATTCTAAATTCAATATACTAGGTTATGCAAATTATGTAAAATCTGAAATTTGGTCAGTTAGTCAGATTTTTTATTTTTTTTTCTGTTAGTCATATAGAATTAAGGTTTTCATTAGATAACATCAAATAAACAAAAGAAAAAAAGAAAAAATACATCCCAGTTATTTCTCTAACATTGAATTCCTCAACAACTATTTTTCTGACAATCACTTCTTCGATATGACTACTTCTCTGACAATTACTTCCTCAACATATTTATTTTTCAACATTTATTTCTCTGACATATTCATTTTCCTAGCACAGTATCAAGAAAATGAGTGTGTTGAGGAAATAAGTATTGGGAAATAAATATGTTAGAAAGTAATTGTCAGAAAAGTGGTTATGTTAGAGAAGTAATTGTTAGGAAAATAGTTGTTGAGAAATTCATTGTGACTAGGACCTAATGAAAAATTAACTTTGCATAGCCTTATTTGTTTCACTATAGCATGACAAATTTTTAAAGCAAATTAGAATTTATGATATTTCTAATATAAACTAACTTAAAACATTATTTTTTTTTTTTACAATAATCAGAAAAATATAAGTTTAATAATAGTAAATCAGTAAATTTGAAATCACGATAGCTCTAATCAATACATTATTATTTTTTTTTTTTTTTATAGTAATTAGAAATCACAATAATTCACTATAACATGTAAGTTTAATAAAGTTTCAGCAATAAATAATAATTCTAATACAAACTAACTTAATGCTTATCTTTTTTGTAAATAGAAGCCACTTAAGTTCTATAACTATAAACTAGAAAATTTAATAATAATCCTAATAACAGAATGTTTATAGTAAAAATTTGAAATTATGATAATTCTAATACAAACCAATATCTTCGTAGTCATATTTTTGTTATTGTATCTTCTTCGCTGTATCTTCTTTGCTGTATTTTCTTTGCTATATCTTCTTTAGTTGTATCTTCTTCGGTCATATTTTCTTCAGTTATATCTTTTTTAGTAGTATCTTCTTTAGTCATATTTTCTTTGTTGTATCTTCTTCACTTGTATCATCTTTACTCGTATCTTCTTCGCTCATATCTTCTTTGCTCGTATCTGATATATTTAAATTTATTATAATTAGAAATAATTATTTTAAATAAAATTTTTTAGGGTTTTAGAATTAATTTTATCAGCAATCTGTAGGATAACTGAGAGAGTATCTACTAATTGTTAGTATAAGTTAGTTTGTTTTCCCTATAATTTCTAGGATTTTGACTTGTTAAGACTTGTTTAAAGTAATCAAGTCTCAAAATAATATGAAAACTGACAATTTTCATAATCTATATTCTATTAAATAGAATAGCTGAACTTCCTAGTTTTCTCTAGAAGGCATTCTAATAATGAACTAAAGGTATAGAATTTCTAAAAATTCTAGGCTTATTGCTATTTGCCTTAAGATTGATTACTATCACTAGTCGAAAATGTGAAAATCGACCATGCCAAATGTTAATAAAATTCGGCTTATATTCATCTTAAAATCGGCTTCAGAATTTAAAAATCAATACTCAAAAATAAATATTAACCCAAAATCAGTAACTAAAATAAAAAATTAACTAACAAATAAAAATTCGATTAGGTCGAATTATAAAAACATTCAGCATAAATCGGTTCGAATTAAAAAAAATTACCTTCTAAAATAAAAATCAATATAAAATCAGCATAAAAAACTCAAATCAGCAATTATCTATAATCGACTACTAAATAAAATTCAGAATAAAATCAACTTGAAAATTAAAAAATCACCTTCTAAATA